CAAGGCTCAAGGGCCTTCTGGCTCCTCCAGGACCTCCAAGCCCCTTCCTCCCCACTCAACCCAGAGACCAACACCTGCTCCGGCTGTGAGGCAGAAGCCCTGTGGCTCTGGCTGGAGCAGCTCAACATCTGGAAATAAAAGGCCCCGTGGCAGCCTCCTCATTTGGGGCTGCGCCTTGTTGCCGTTCCTCCTGGTTCCTGTGGATGTACTTTCTTAGTGGGAAGCCTGCCTGCCCTCTTGCGCTGAGGGAAGTGGGTCCTAAGGACCAACTGCTCATGAATCTGCCCGGAACCGACCTTGAGTAGAGCCAGTGGGTTCTGGAGCTTGACTCTTGACCTTTAACTTGTCCTCCGTTGAATGCCATATCGTGGGGAACCTGACCAGTACATTGCTCGCCCAGCATGTTACTCACATGGGATATAGGTGGCAGGGGCCAAGGCTTTCTCGTGGTTGGGTTCCTCTGCTGACCAGGAACACCATCATCACGGACCCCTGTTGGTCTCCTTTGATGTGCAGGGTGAGGCCAGCACCTTACGCAGGGTGTAAGGCGCCCTGGTTCTCCCTGCATGGTGGGAGCACGGCTTGGGAGTGGGTGTCACCGTGCTAGGACTGTAGGGAAGGGCTTAGAGAGCGCAGACGAACCTTGTGCTTCCTGCCCCCATCCCAGCGGGGCAGGTGGTGGTCTGGGGCCTTGCATCGCAGCAGTTGGGGAGGAGTGGTTCTCCCCACCCCGCTGTTAGAGCTGAGAGCAGCTCTGATTTCAGTTCCAGCCTCTCCCCGATTGCTTGCCTTTCTGTTCCTACTCGGTGGCACAAGGAGGACCAGCCCCTCCTCCCATGAACCCACCCAGGTGTGCGGGGGGCCCGGGGGAGGTCCCTTCCATGCAGCTTCCGAGCTTCCATTAGTAGAAGTTCAGGCCGTTCTGACCTCTGGTGTCACTTACTGTCCTGCAGCCTCCTGGAGGAGAGTTACGTCATGAAGGATCCGTTCACCTCACACAAGGACAGATTCCTGGTCCTCGGCTCAAAGTGCAGTTTATGCAGCCGGCTGGTGTGCGTGGGCCCGGTGGGTAAGCTGCGTGGGCTGGGGCCGCCTCCCCGCCCTCTCTCCCTCCCTCCCTGTGGCTGGGACCCCACACATGATCGTGGGAAAGGTGACCTGTGAGCCTTCCCCGAGGATGGCATGAGCGTCAGCCTCTCTTTGTGGCAGTGATCCTAGGGGCCCTCTCAGTCACATGGTGGGGGGCCCGGGGATTCTTGGAGGCCAGCTGGTCCACCTCATTACGGATGGGTGGACCAGCCAACAGAGGGGAGCAGACAGGCAGAGGGGCGAGCTGGGGTCAGCCAGAGGGTCTCAGTGTTGGCTGCAGAGTGGGTGCTGACAGTTCTCCCCCTCCCAGCCATGCCGACGGCCATTGTGCTTCTCTCCATGGGACGGTGACCTTCTTCCTGTTGTTCTTGGAGGGACCTTCCGGAGGAAGGAACTGTGCTTTCTTGAGCATTAGCTGTGGGTCGGGCCCTGTGCTCGGGGCCTGTTTTCCCAGTGTAGTTTCCTTCAATCCTGCCCCAGGCCTCGCTGTGCAGAGCAGTATTGCCCCCATCTGATAGGTGAGGACACGGTTGAGGAGGCTGAGCGGGTCCAGGCCACCAGGTTAGTGAGCCTCTCGTTGGACAGCGCAGGGGTGAGTGGAGGTGGGGCTGTGTGGCTGAAGCGCGGCCCCTGTAACCCGAGCCCTGCAGCAGGACAGTGGTCCCTGGGCATTCTGCTCGGGGGCAGGGTACAGGCCAGAGTGCTGCATCACAGACTGGGTTTAAACGTCAGCCTCTGTCCCCGAACGGTCAGGGTGATGAGATTTGACGGGGTGTGACGAAGCCTTAGCAAGGCAGAGGCCTGCATTCGAGGACATGGGACGGCTGGTGAGGACCCAGCAGGAGAGAAGCAGTTGGGAAATGAAGACTGGAAAGGGGGGCTGGGCACGGGGGAGGGGAGAGGCCTTTAAATGCCACACGTACACATTTGGGCTGCACTTGGTGAGCAGAGGAGAGGGTGCTCCATATGGTATCCGAGAGCTCCAGTGTTCTTGGAGGAAGTGCTCGGTTGGTGGCGAGTCCCCCCTCTTACACGGGAACAGATCTCTTCCGACAACCGCAGGAAGGACAGCCTTGTCTTAGCTGAGGCGCACTCTGAGCTGCTGGAACAGAGACCCCCTAAATACGGTGGCCTGATCACGACAGTCTTCAGTTACTTTTTGTATGTGTAAGGAGTCCAGAGCAGGTGGTGCCACTGCCATTCTCAAAACACAGCATCCTCTGGGTCCGCAGTAGCTGCCTCAGCTCCCACCATCATACCTACGCTCCTGTCCGCCGGAAGAGACAGGGAGCACATGCCTGTTCCTTCAAGGGGCACAACCAGGAGGCGGCACAGAGCTGCCAGTGACACAGACCCAGTCCTGTGGCCACACCCCGTTGCAGAAGGGGCTGGGCAAGTAGTCTTTGGACAGGCCCCTGGGCAGCGAGTCTCAGGAGTTGAGTGGCAAAGGATGGGCACAAGGGAGAATGGCCGCGGTTGGACAGATCTGACCTCCCACGCAGACCGGCCACTCACCAGTGGCCTTTTTGGTCTGTGGGGCTGTGCCCAGCACCGGTGGTCACCAAGCCCCTGTCACACTGCTGTGATAACCAGCAGGGGGAGGGATCTAGAATCTCTGACAGTTGAGGTGTGGCCCCGGCTCTAGCTTTTCATTGTTTCCATGTCCCCCGTGATGGAGCATGGCAGTCCCCGGAGTCTTTCCACGCCATCCGGGCTCTCTCACCCGGGTTGACCCGGGCCTGCATTGCCTTGTTCTCTCTGACACCTTCGCCCATCTCACTGGGTGATTCCCACATGCTCAGAATCCCCTGATACCCCACTGCCTGCAGGGGCTGGCACGGGTCTCTTGCCTACCTGCTCTCTCCTCCCTGGCGGCCCTCCCTTGTGTCTTTTTCTCTTAGGTGATGACCGCATTCTCGGAGGAGGCTGGCCGGCCCTGGGCCCTGCCCTCCCTCATGCTGTTCTGGCCCTGGCCAGCCCCTGCCAACACGACCCCCCAGCTGCCCCTGCCTATAGCACCCTCCCCTCCCCACTGCCGCCCTGTACGGGGTGAAGGACTGGCCTCTGGGAGAAGCTGCACCCCCCGCTCTGTGGTACTTAGCCCCCATCTTTCCCCCATTCTCTTTCAGGAATGCAGTTTATTCTACTCCAAGAGGTTTTGCCTCCCCTGTGTCCAGGAAAACATGGATGCCTTCCCTCAGGAAATCCGGCAAGACTTGGAGAAAAGGAAAGCTCCATCAAAGAGGCCAGCCAGCCAGCCTAGCTCTCGGACATGAGTGCGGCCAGGCGCCAGGTTGGCATCAGCACCTAGCACAGAGCTTCTGGGCTGGCAGAGCACCTGCAGCCTGGGTCAGGGATGGGGCTGAGCTGGGACCTGTCGTGCCCTGCCTTGCTCCGGGGCAGGTGGGAGCCGCGTGTGCAGCTGGAACGGGCTGGGGCCCAGCCTGCAGCAGGAAGGTGATCGGGAGTCAGGCAGAGAAAGCACTCAAAAGGCAGACCTCGGACCAGATATCCTGCAGACGTAACCCTGTCCAGAGCCTCCTTGATGCTGAGACTGCAGGGCAGGAACTGAGAAATGGCTCAGAACTGGCACAAAGGGAAGCTGAGGCTGGGCCTGCGGGCCCTTTTGCTCTATTCCTGGACCTGGGGCTCTAGGCCTTCCTGCAGGGTCATCCCCTGGCTCCTGCTTATACACGGCCAGACGTGGAAGGCTCTTTGTGCCCTTTGCACGATTCATCGGATCCAGGAATTGCCTCCAGGTGACATGCTACTCTGCCTGGCCCTGAGGACACAGGAGTGAAGGGACAAAGCCCACTGTCCTGGTCTAGTGTGAGGAGGCCCTCTGGTCACGCTGGGGGGTCATGCTTTCCGTGCTTATGCGGAGGCAGGACGGCTAGGGTGGGGACTCCTGTCTTCCCCATCCTAGGGAGTGAGTGCTCATGTGGTGAAGAGGTCACTTGTTGGGACGGTTCACAGGGAGGTGACCTGTGGGAAGGTGCCTGAGGTGTGTGGGGAGCTGCAGGCGTGATTGGGGGGCCTGGGGGCAGTGGAATTTTACTTCACATCCTTGTGCTTGGAAAAAATGTTTTAAATCTTGACCATGTGTTAGATCCATAATTAAATACCCAAAGAACCAGTTAATTTTTTGAAAAGTAATCCTTCCCTGGAAACATTTGCGAGGCAGATGTTCTCCTTGGCATCCTGGATCTGGCTTGGGTTGGGGGCTGGGGTGTTGCCACGTGCAGCCTCTTCCATCCTGTCCGGCCTGTGGACTCCAGCTCTGGCCCCTATAGGCCTGGTCCCATTCCAAGGTAGAGCAGTGCTCTTCCCATGCCTTCCCTCTCCTCACGCAGGGGCTCACAGCTGGAGGTGCTGTCTTGCCCCTCTCCACGGGGGACCCCGCACCAGCCCTGCAGGCTACTGTAGGCGGCCCTGGGGCACTCCTCCCCCACGGACACCCCTCCCGCGGGCTCCCCTGCCCCCGTGGCCCCCACCTTCGCCGTGGGGGACACACTGAACGGCTCGTTGGCCTCTGTCTGCTGGCTCTCAGGGCCGGAGCGGCTCTGTCTTCACCTGTAACTACTGGGAGGCCAGCTGACGCTGCCCCCGGGGCCGGGGTCGGGGGGCAGACATGCATTTGAGGAAAGAATGAAGAAAGAGCTTTTATTGGCTGATGGGCGCACTGGGTTTTATTTTCAGATGCTTCCCCTGCATCACATTACTTTAGACGAAGGGCTGTCATTTGGGGGCCACATTGTCCTAGGTCCATTCGAACCGAAGGACAGAAGGACCAGAGGGGAAGACCCCTGGGGAGTGGGGCGGGGGCTGCCTGGGCTGAGGGCAGACGCTCTAGCCGGGGATTTTCAAGCCAAAAGTTCATCTCACGGCATCACTCAGAACTCACCAACCAATTTTAAAAAATAGTTTTATTTTTTAAAACCATTAAGGCAACACTGTACCCTGAAATTAACTCCTGACATTCATCAGTCTTACAGTAGGACATTCCAAACCTGTACATTCCCATAAATTCAGGATATTAAAATATGTGATCAATTCAATCTCCTAGCAGGAAACAGAATAAGACCGAAGATTTTTTTTAAAAAATTAAAGTTATAGTCATTTTTTAATTGCTTGGAACCGCTATCGGTTAATGTGACTCGGAAGATTCCATTTGCTCTTCTGTGCACGCCCCTGCTCCCTGAGGCCCTGGATGGATGCCCCCTCCCAGACCCAGAGAGAGAACCCCAGAACCTGCTTGCTCTAAAAGATCTGCTTTGGAACTGCTCCTGTTTAGTATGAAGACAAGGGGTCTGTCAGCTCCTGAATACTTGGAGAGTATAAGGCACCAGAGTGGTAACAAACACACCAAGAAACCAAGCTCAGTCTTGCTTTGGAAATCTGCATCCATCTGATGTTCTGACACGTGTCAGTCAGACACTCTCGGTGCCATGGCCCTGTGGACATCAAGAAGTTCTGCTGAGATACTGTGAACGACCCACGGGAGCCTCACGGGGTCTGTGGTTTCTGTTGTATGCTTCGGGCTGGGCCATCTGGGGGCTGCCAGAGAACCACCGGTGCAAAATATGCCACCCGAAGATTTTGGATTGCCTGAGTGCTTTGGTAATAACCCACAGGTAATAACTCCGTGAAGAAGAGACTGTGACCCACAACCCAGGAATAGTTCAGGTCTTTAGCAGGTCACTGCTGGGAGCAGTTAGTGACTCCGGACCTGGGTCTCTGGCCCCCTTGCCAGAAGAGACGGTGAAGACAGACTTGCTTGTGCTCGCATGTGACTCATGACGAAGGTAACAAAAAGCTGTGTGTGTGTGCACATGTATGTGCAACTGTACGTCACTTATATTCCAGCATCCTTTGTGTTTCCAGTAGGTTCCATGAGCCAGGCTACTAAGAGTATATGTCAACTAATACTGATTTCAAAAGATTCCAAATCTTTGTTATTAGATGCACGATTGTAAGTTAGTAAAATACACTAAAATTTTTCTTAAACTTGAATCACAGTATTTAAGATATAGATATTAACATAGTTCATTTTACCATACAGTGTAGGAAAAATGACAAACACAATGACTGTGACCTTACTGGAAAGGGTACTGAGTGGTATTCATCTATTGTGAGGTACTCTTTTTTTTTTTCCTTTGTTTTTTTTTAGGCCTGAAAAAAAGAACAGATATCTGTGCTTTTAAAAAGAAAAGATAGTTTCCAAAAGTGAATGATTTTACTTTGGAAAGATTGGTCACTCACTTGTCTTCAGGGCCCGAACCTTGACCTTCCTGCCCTGAGGAGGCCATGCTGAGGCCGGAGGACCCCCTGGGGCCAAGAGCCCTCACCTCCGGGCTCATGGTGGAGGGCGGGTCCCTGCACTGGTCTCCACGGTGCCCCAGTTTGTAGGATTAGCAAAGTTTAGATGTTGGGTGTGGGGAGAAGGGTTAGGGAGGAGGAGCCTAGTATATTCCCTTCTCCGGAGAAGCACTTGGGGAAGTACTTCACATTTGACCCAAACTAGCAAACATATTTTAAATAAAAAAAAAAACCTGATCCAGGTGTTAACCCTATCTCTGATGTTAAAAAAAAAAAAAGTTTCTTAGTTTTTTTGTTTTGTTTTTTTTTTGGCAAATAATGAACAGCTAGGGGGGGCCACTGCAGTCCTTGACGTTCTCCATTGCTTCAGTCAAGATGTGACATTGAACATGGGTGCAGTTTGGTCTGCTCTGTTGGGCAAGGAATTCCAAAAGGATGTGGCTATATGTATTTCAGCTGGGCCACATTATATGGGCCCCCGTCCCCCCCACCCCCGTTTTCCCGAGGTGGGGCAGTACACGGTGACACTGGTCTTTGTCTCAGACTGAAATGTCCAGAAGCAAATGGTCTGCTGAGAGCCCCATGCTAGACCTGAGAAGGTGTCCCAGGCCTCAGGCTGCTAGCCTCTCAGTTGCTGTCTGGATATGTGGGCCACACCCACAGCCTTTATGAGTCTCACTCCACAAAAACAGCATAATGGAAAGAATTCTGCAGTTCTTTAAACTAATGCATGAGGATTCATTGTCTTTTCAACTTTCAGTATCACCTCTAATTTGCATTGTGGTTTCCAGAGAAATGTAATGGATCTCCTCTATCCTGAGTCAGAGGAAGTTTCACTGCCTTTATTCTTAACTCTGGTGTGTGTCACAGGCTGGGGGTCAATGACCATTTTCCTGAATTCTATTAAAATGGCACATATATATATATCCCAGCAAAAAATGTAGACTCAACCTTTGGAGCCTGGCAAGAATCCTTAATCCCAGGGGGAACCCTATAAATCAGCTTGGACCAAGAGTTAAGAGAAGCTGGGCCACTTTTTTTTTAAAAGGAGAAGAACAAGTACAGAGAGCCTGGCTTTGGAGTCACCCGGTGCCGGGCTGTGCCAGTGCTATAAAGACTGGGTACGTGGGAAAAAAATTCCACGGACACTTGTTAATAAGCCGTAAGCCCTCGGTGGCTGGCACCGATCGTAGTTGGTGACTTCCACAGAGTGGGATGTCCTCGCTGTCCTGAATGGACACACTGCTGTGGACTTAAAAGACAGGCTTTAAGTGACACCCCAAGGAACACCTGCAGTGCAGGTTGGTCAAAACAGTGTACCCCTCTTGAAACAGGCATTTGCAAGACATTCCAGAGATGGGTGTGGCCACTGGGTCGAGACAGAAACAACCAAACAAAAGACCACCCTCCATCATGTATGCAGTGGCTAGGTATCAAATGTGCTTGGTGCTGCTGTGGCTTGAAGAAGGAAGCGCGAGGAAGGAAGTGCCCAGAGGCAGCAAGGAGGCCCAGATGCGCCCCACTAAGTCGGCCTGGAGGCATCTGCTTCCAGCTTCATCTGGCAGGGACTCTCCCTGAGCAGGCTGCCTCGGCCAGCAGGTGCAGCGGAGGAGCAGGGGAGGCCCTCCACAGGGCGGGTCACCGGGGCCGGTGACTGTTCCCACTTCCAGACCTGGGTCATGCTCCAACTCACCCAAACTGGGGGCAGCAACTTCTGCACATGTGTGTCTTGGAGGCTCAACCAAAGTGCCTTTAAGAAGTCACATGACCTTCTGCCTCTCAGTGTGCAAAGGTGTTTAACTTCTGAATCTTATTCATAAATGATCTGACTATAGATGCTCCAAAAGGACCCCTAGTGTTTCGTGTACCTTAATTTTAACTGTGCCTTTTGATGTATCATATTGAGGTAGCTGTTATGCTGTAGATTTGGGGAAACAGTAGTTGCTAAATTAATAGTTTACTTATCGCACATTAAACAAAGGATTTTACTTGAGCCTTGAGCTTCTGCTCAGATCTTAGGATGCTGCCCTGTCTCTGGAACCCCCACATGATCCTTGAGGTTGTTCGTTGCCTTAGAGTTTCAGATGGCCCAGTGTAAGAAATGCATCCAAAATGCAGAAGGATACATGCTTGCTCTTAAAATGAAGAGTCCCTTTAAAACAAGGATAGCTCTCACAAGCATTCCTGAATGCACCACGCACCAAGGTTCTTCTCCTGGACTTCACATTCTTATTGACATATGTACACCTACTCTTCGGGGAGATGCTTGGAGTGCATCTCATCCGAGAGTTATAGGAAGGCCACGGAAACTCGAGAGCAAGGCGGGAAGAAAGGAGCGGCTCACTGGCGCTTTGATGATTCCCAAACTGTCCCTGCCTCTCGCTCGTGCTGATGCAGTTGCCAGCGTACTGGTTTTGATGATGCTGGGCTTCCCCAAGATGGCCACTGGTGTGTGCAGACCTCAAGGTGGCAGGGGCAGGATTCTGCGTGTGGGACACCCAGCTGGAAATGCCCGGGAGGACGAAGGGGAGGGACCCTGTGGGACTGGGGAGAGAGGGCCAGGCTGGCTCCTGAGCTGGAGCTGCCTGCTGGGTTCAGGACTCGTTCCTTGTCAGTCCTGCAGACAAAGGCTGTTTGTAATTTTGTGGTCTCTGAGGCATTTGGGACTTGTGGCTACAAACAGTGACTTGCTGAAGGGCATCAGGGTGGTGGTGAGGGGAAGCTGCACCACCTGCCGAGTTCCCCAGCAGAGGAGGGGCTCCGTGCTCTGGTCTGAGGCTTCTCGAACCTGTTCTGTCATATCTACCCCACTTCATGCTGACGTCTGCTGAAGTGCAGCAGGCAATAAATGCGCTTTAACAAGCCTTTACTGGAAACGCGACAGTATTCTGAACTGGTGAATGATCTGTCTGTATCTGACTATCGGTGGTCTGAGAAATCTTTGACTAGATGGCCCAAACATTCTGCTTGGCAGTCAGTGACTGTTACTTAAAATGAACGGGAATCTGTGATTTTCTTCCCATCCGTACCAGTGAACGAATTCAAGTGACTTTCGAGCTGTGCTCTCTGCATCCTCCTTCGTGGCCTCACCGGGAACATCGCTGGGAGTCCAGCCGGGCCCCAAGAGAGCCAAAGGCTAACACTAGCACTACAGAACCCGTGACTTTGGTGGCAGAATGCATGAAACAAGGAGCTTTTTAAAAATAAGTTTTATGAAAACAGAACCAGAGTGAGCGACTTTTCTGAAAGCCTGGGTCTTGAGGGTCCCTTTCTGAGGCCACATCCACAAATGGCATCTGCCTGGGACACCTGAGAAGAGAGGCCAGTGGTTGCCAGCGGCAACAAAGACGTGGCACCGGCCCGAGGGGGCCTTGTCTTAGGGAAGAACGCCCACGTGGACGTGCGTGCCCTCTGACTCTGGACGACCTCTGGACTGGTATCATTCATACGTGGAAATACTTTTATTTGCTTCCAACAGATCCTTTGATTGGATGTCTCAACAAAATAAAAATGAAAACTACCACTAAGGTTTAATTTTGAGGAGGATGTGCCCGTTTTCACGTTCACCTTTTCTAGTTGAAGCCTCACAGTTTTATCGTTCTCTCTCCTGTCGAATTTCCATGATGCTGACCTTGGGAACTTTATCAATTTCAATCCTAATCATTCTTCCAGAGCAAGTAGTAGCGACCTTCTAGAGCCATGTTTTCTAGAGACGGGGGCGGGGCGCCAAAGGCACAACCAGGTGCTACGAGCTGCCATGAGGCAGGGGGTCAGGCAGGGGCACGTGGCCAGTGAGCCCCCTGCGGAGGTGCCAGCTCTGGCAGGCTCAGGCCGGGGTGGCCTTGAGGGCGGGGCTGCTGTAAATCCCCTGCTGGGACATTTACGTACCACGGTGGACAGAAAGAGAGAATCTCTCCAGGTCCATATGCTCTGGACGAAAACCACTATCAACACCGCTTTCAGAACCAGACCGGGGTTGAGAAATGATCTTTGAGGCTGAAACAAATGTTTCAGATGTTGGGAAAGCCGCCTTCCCTATGTAATTGGAAAACTGCCCCACGAAGGACTCTGTGCCTGTCCCCCTCATTCTCTACGTGGTCCCTTGGGGCCCATGCTCCAAAGTCCTGTTCGCCTCACCTTCTACACCCTTGGGAGCAGCTACTACCACCGACAGTTAAAAAAATAAAGCTGCGTATTTTAAAAAGCAACACAGGAAAAGGCCAAGGAGCTGCCTTGACACATGGGGCCCAGAGGAACACTGACAAACAACTTGTCAGTTTGCCCCCGAAAACGCTATCATGGCCCCCAAACAATCTGACTCGGTTGGTTCCGATTTGATAGGAAACAGGTCAGAGGGATGGACAGCTGACATACATTCCGTTTGTCTTGCTCCTGCTGACTCCAGATGCCAGCTCGAAACAGGCAGAGCATCGAGTCCAGGGGGAGTCTTGAGATGCGGCTTTCTGGGATCTTCTACACAAACCTGGAAACAGGCCCTTCCGCCCTATTAAGTCACAACCACGAACACAATGAAAACCAACCGACTGCTGCGTTCGGATAGCTTATCAAAGAATCCTCTGAAATTTTAAATCCTATGATTAAGAAACAGCATGTTGTCTGTCTTCAAATTCAAGAAACAGAATCAGAGTCTTCCCAATAAATATTTTGCTGCTTTTTAAAAATACCTAACCTTTGGATTCATCTAGATTTACAGGATTATAAAAGTTAAAAAGTGCTGATTAGTTTTTAAAACGATAAGGGAGCGCAACAGTCAAAAGGCAGCAAAAGGCAAAGACAGACCACGTATTTCGAGGTCACCAGTTAATTCAGCGCTATGTTACTCATGTGATATCGAGAAATCTGCATTGATTAACATCAGGTGAGTTAAAATCAGACCGCTGGGCATCATTCCCCTTAATTTTCTAAGAACTGCCTATCAGCTACCTGTCACCAGCATTTTAATACTTCACACGTTCTCAGAAGTACTGGTGTGAAAAAGAAGGAAATGTGGTCTAGGGTTCCGGTTACCTAGGGCTCATCCATCCCATTCTCTGAGGTGAAAATGGTGGAATTTGTGCAAAGCCGACGTTGCTCCCGTTTCCCATCTGTAGTGCTGTTGACTTTAGAAGTCCTTGGCACGTGGCTTGTGTGTCTCACTTTCAAGCCCTCAGTACATGTCCCTGTAGATTTCTTGCAGCAGCGGGTGCAGGGCAGCGTCAGACTCCGTCTTTTTGATGACCTGCACGAGCTGCGCGTGCTCTGTGACGAGCTGCCGGAGGTCTGCCATTTTTTGAAGGAGTTTTGGGAAGAGGAAGGTGTTGTCTGGGTGGTTGGTCTGCAAGTGAAGTTTGAGCACGTGCACAATGCCCTCCTGCATTTTTTCAATGTGTCCCACGTTTAGAAGGCCAGGACGATCTATTCTCAAAAGAAAGAAGAGATGTTTGTGATAATCAGTCCACTGACGCCTCGTAACTGTTTATCGGTTGGGGAAACCAAACATTCTTATTTTATGTGGCCTTTCTTTCTTATTCCGCCTTTGACTCGGCTGGAAGACAGAACTCCATTCTTCCAAAGTCACTGGGCCTACTGGGCAGACAGGACAAATACTCGGTCCTAAATATTTGTGTACTACCTTACATCGACCAGCTGCCCTGCAGCATGGCCCTTTCATTTTGGGTTTATCTGATTACCACCGGTCAGGGGAAAAACCCCAAAACATTAGGAGTAACCATATATTCCAATGATGATTCAAACAACCAGTTTTGCATGATATGAAATGAAATACTTCTTCTTGAGTGAAAACCAGATATTTGGTTTCAAGTTTTCCATCACCATGTGAAGGAGTGTGATTGTGTTAGACTTGGTTTTGTGGTATAAAGCGCTGTGAGGGGTAGGAATGCTACAGTCTTCTGATACGAGCCGGCTGCATAGACTGGGGAACGGGACGTGCGTGGCAGGTGCTAGCTGCACAGGGTGCTGCCGAGCCCTAGGGAGGCCTGAGACCTGGTGCCGGCAGGTCAGCGAGCACACCACATGCCCTCCCTGGGGTAGCTCATCCGCAGGCACCAGCCCTCCCAGGACAGCCTGAGACCACGTGTCCTGCCTTGGGTCCAGAACACACCCTGTCCCTGTCCCTGTCCAATAGGCAGTGCTCTCTTTTAAGCCCCGTCCTTACTAGGATTGTTAAAAGTGTTGCTAAGGGTGTGGATTTTTTCATTGCTTTTTTTGGTTGTAAAATGAATATAATTACTCACTTTTTAAACAGATTAAAAAAAAAACCAGAAAGTGAATCCCCCTCATGAGGTTTAATGTGTATCACACCAGACCCTTTTCTATATATAGGATTGATACATGATTTTCTTTTGAGAGAGAGAAAGAGCCAGCATGGGGGGGAGGGGCAGAGGGAGAGAGACAGAATCTGAAGCAGCTCCCCACTCGGTGTGGGGCCTGATACTGGGCTCGATCTCACAACCCTGAGTTCATGACCCGAGCCAACACCAAGAGTCAGAGGCTTAACTGACTGAGCCACCCAGGTGCCCCAGGATTGATATATGATTATAATTTCTTTTAGAAAACTGTGCTCCTACCACTCATAAGGGTGGTGCAGTTGCTTTTTACCCACAACACTACATCTTGAGCATATAAAGGACAAGGGTGGCTTACGTACAACTGTTCTGCATTCTACATTTTTTGCCAGAGCATAAGGACTCCCTCCACCTGACCGTGCGCAGCTGGATAGTTACAGGCACAGGCCTTGTGGGCCTTCCGGAGTCTGGGCGGCTGTGGCTAGCCTCAGCTCCACAAGTCCGCCAACTGTGGGGCATAGCACAGCTTCTAGCAGTTTGTGGTGGCGGTTGGTGGTCGCCTCATCGGTCTCCCCCAGGCTGGGTAAGGTCAGCTGAGTTTACAGTATACAGATGACCTTCTTCTACCAGGACAGGGTTATTTAAAGGAACAGGACACTGAGCCAAAATTCTGGGAGCTGCAGAGCCAGCTTCCCTGCAGAGAGGCCCAGATTTTCCTTCACTGGGATCCATTTCCTTTGGCAAAGCGAACTGCAAACACTGCCAGTTAGCTACTGATATTTTTCATTATGAAATAGAATAAATATATCAATAGTGAGATAAACTCTACTAACATCTGTATGGCATTTCATAGAATACTGTCTATGATATGGATATAATACTATAATAATAGAATTATATAACAATAATAATACACACCATATATTATGATTCTAATATGTATTAGATATTAGATATGCTAGATAAAATTATATTACCATTGCACCTAAAATATTTGATAGTTATACTTAGAAATAGAATATTATGTATGTAACATAATTATGAATGGAACATTTATATAATGTACAAATATGTATTTATATATAATAACGTATGCTATACTATGATACAATATGATATAATTCTCACTTAATTCCCAGTGGTGGTGACGCAGGGGCTCAGACGCCCTCCCGCCTGCCAGTGTGCACTCCACTGTGCACCACTCACGCACAGACCAGATTTACTGCTGTCCTGCGGGATAGGAGGCTGCAGGTGACGTGGCACCAGATTCGGCCAATGACTTACCTCCACAGCAAATTATAGCAGCCACAAAAAGGGAAATATCACTGTCGTCCAGCTCTAGCGCGTTGAACTTCATTGCAAAATCAAACTTAGGTTCCATGATATCACAAAATGGTTTCCTTAGGCTCTTTAGGAATTCACGAGTTATAAAACCATTTCCATATGCTACCAGCATCCCGTCTTTATTCATCACAGAAGACAGCATGGCAAATATGGCCTCATAAACTCCATATTTCAGCAAAGTGACCTGATCATTCAAGTCCAAGTTGGCGAAGCCAGGGATGGACTTGGCGAACTCAGTGAGCTCAGTGACGGTCTCCACGGACGTGCACTGGCAGCAGTGGAAGATGCGGACTTCTGCCTCCTTGTTCTGGATGCCATTGGCCACCAACTTGGCCACCAGAGTCTTCTCAGCCATACACAATGTCTCCATGTCGTGTATGACAAAGGGCTGCAAAGAAAGACATGGAAATGAGCCAGGTCACTGGTGACAGGCTGTCCTCTTAATTATCAATGAACTGATGAGCAGCCACTGTCTGTAGGTCACCTGCGGAGAAGTGCAACATGAACAAAATGCAGTCTTCGTCCTTAAATAACCTCAGAATTGGTTGGGGACACAAAGACATTCATAGGGAACTAGCAATACAAATCAGTAAGATAATAATCATCAGTGCCTGACACTGGGTGGGGATTTCATTGTTATGAAAGGTAAGTCCTGATTTCGGCAATAAAGCTAACAAGAGAATATTCGCAAAGCACTTTTAATACTTTATGACATTCTCTGAACTCCTAAATACCTCTGCAATGGCCCTAACTACAATAACTTTGACATTTTTATCACTGAAGAACAGTTGACACACAATGTTACATGAGTTTCAGGGGCACAGCATAGCGTGACTCGTGATTCGACACGTCTACACATTAGGCGGTGCCCGCCCCTCGAGCGGAGTCGTGACAACGTAACTACAACATTACTGACCGTAGTCCTCCTTTTCATCCTCAGGGCTTATTAATTTTATAACTAAAAATGTGTGCCTTCACCTCTTTCCCTCATCCTACAGTAATTCTTAATTTTACCATTTTATGAACTTTGGAGATAACCATTGTTACCTGACACTGCCGCATGAGTAAATTTGGCACGTAAATAGAACTTGGAAAGTTGGTGTTCGTGTTTGCGTAGCAATAAGCAAACAAGCATTGTTAAGCCCTTGCTCTCTGGGGGTAACCTGGGCAAATCTTGAAGGACCCTCACCTCCTTGAGTGTAGGACTGAGATCTGCACTTCGGTGCTCTGTGTTCTGGAACAAGTGCAAACCCCTGGACCAGCAGCCTACATGTGGCCATATACCATTTGCTTCTAAGCCCACGGGTCCTGCCATTTTCTAAGTACCTAGTGGAGGAAAGAAGAGACGGTTGGCCCTATTATTTGAAGCCAGCATGGCCAGAAGGGATCATATATCTGGTGGGGCACAGGGGAACAACATGAATGTTTTGTGCTGCTGGCCAAAATGTACACCGGATCTGTGCGCGGAGCAGAAGAAATGACAGTCTCTCGGCTATCTCTCTGATTTATAATGTGTTCTATAGATCAGTAATGAGGTGGGCTGAAGCATTATTTTCAATTCCTACCAGGATACATAAAATGTAGAATGCCTAAGCAGCTCATGATTTTAAGACTCACTCTGCCAATGGGCAAAACATGTCACTGACACTCTATCTGGCCCCACGGCACGATGTGTCCCCTATTCCTGGGCTCCCAAGAGCACCTAGAGGAACCACAGCAAAAAAACATCTTCAGGGCACCTGGAGGGTGTCCTTGTCTCAGAAGCAAGGCAAGCGTGTTGGAACAATGCAAGGGATTGTCTTAGAAATGTTTAAGCAAAATCAGAATTTGCAATGCAGCGTTGGACAAAAAAAAAATAATTTGATTCTAAGTCTGAAGAAAGAGGATACTCGAAAAATTACCTGTGCGTGAGTGAAAACAATCTGAATACAAAATTCAAAGCCAAAGTCCTGACTATCTCAAGTCCGGTTAAGGAAGACTAAAACCATCTCCTTCCAAAGACTGTAAAAGCAGGCCGGATTACTGTTGTTTGGGGAAAGTTTGGGGGCAGTTCTGTTTTCTGGGAAGTTGCTCACATTGGAGGAATTAACATTCTAGGGATACGCAGCAGTATCCCTTCAATTCCAGAAAATACACTAGTAGGCCACCTTGGCTGTATCCCTGGCTTTGTAACCTTCGGCAGAAACAAAGGCATTAAAAACAAAAGTTGTGTGGCCCAAAGAAATTTGGGAAACGCTGAGTTAAATGATGTTAGCGCCTTCCAGACTCTCTATCGCAGCAGGTGTGTGCTGGGGAAGCTTCAGGAACAGGGACAGGCTGGGCATGGGTTCCCCAAATGTGTGATCCCAGAGCACTTGCGTCCTTTGCTGAAGATTCTCATGACCGGCGTGGGACCGGCCATGGAATTTGCAGGGCTTGGGGCAAAATGAAAACGTGGGCCCCCTTGTTCAAAAATGATGAAGAATTTCAAGACAGCAACAGCAGGGCATGAAATCCCAATGCGGGGCCCTTCCAGGCAAAGGGCCTTGTGAAACAGGACACACGCCCGTGAAACCCGCCTGGGACTAGTTTTATGTGAAACATATTCTCGTAAATGGGGATGTATCTGGTACAAATACTTCATTTCATTTTTATAAAATTATCACTTGGATTTTAAGAAGGCAGGCCCTCATTAACAGACAAAATTAGAAACCATCTCAATTCAAAACCAGTGCTAACATTTAGAAACCAATGTTTATGGAAACTCAAGAGAAAATGCATATACTAACACGCTTGATAAACACTGTTGATAGGACTATTTAAAAAAATCCATGCTGCTTATATTTAATTATGGAATGCGCCTTTTATACTTAAGTTTGAATATGAATGTATCTGACATCACAGGTGGTCATTTCAGATAAATAAAGCATGTTGTCAGGAGTTTAAATAGCCTGAGGCAGAAAGCTGCCCAGCCCCCACCCCCAAATCACTCCCCACCAAGACCAGAAGGTTCTCCTAACTGACATCTATCACTCGTGCTCACGCCTGATGGTGTTCTGTGTGTGTTAATGATGCTACTGACAAGAACTCATCTTTACATACATCTAAATAGCATTTTCTACATAAAATCAGGCAGCACCATCTTTTAGGAAAAAATTGTGATTTATTGGTAGAAGTGCTTTGGATGAAACCATTTAATAAGCTTTTGGTTAGATTTTACTACACATTTCAAGAAACGGTATAAAATATTAAGTATGTTTTTCAATCTTAAGGCAACTTAAGTTGTCAGTGTGATATTTCAGCATGACGCCGTGGGCAAAACCCCACCACGTGGTGCATCATCCCCCCAAAGCCATTTCAGGATGGTGCCCAGGGGGCCCCTTGTCCCAAAGATCTTGAAACGCTGAGAATAATGTTGAAGGCCCTTTCCAAACATACGTTAGAATCTATTCTCGGCCACGAGCCAAAATCTCGTCCCCTTGCTTCCTTCATTCTTCTCAGACAAGACACTTGACTGTTAACTGACTGGCTACAAAGCACTCACGACTTTGTCTAAAATTCAATTATCTTCTTAGAGGACACAGATTCTCCATGACTGAAGACATTCAAAGACTCTAACGATTATTCCTGACGATTTTGAGCAATATGGGAACCTTTGAGATAAACATATGCCGTCCCCTTCATTTGAATGAAGAAAGTTATGACGGTCTGTGACATTACAGAGTAAGAGTACTAGTGCATTCTTTCATCCCCATGGACTTCAATGCTCCTCACCCTCTCACTGCATGTGGCCTCCTGGACAGTCTTCTTGTATTTTTAACACCTCAAGCGTCAACACACCAACTTTTTAAGATGCTGTTGAAAAGCACGTCTTTTGGAAGCCAAGTTCAGATGGGACCGATGTACCCCTGTGCCTCAGCTCTGCTTCTGTTTCTGCTACCCTCAAGTCACAGGGCAGCCGGGGCCCTGACGAGCTCCGACCAGGTCACTAAGGGCCCTGGTGGTTTTCTGGCCTCCGGTTCTGAAATCTCAGCAGCTCAAACCAGCCCCATGCCCAGACAGAAACATTCAGTATCTCTCCCACCACCCTCAGCCCTCAGCTAACACCATCTTTTCCCAAAACAATGGGATCTACAGGCTTCCGGCAGCTTCCTTCCCCCTCCCAAGACCCTCTCTCCACCGTTTCCCAGCCACCTTCCCACAGCATCCCCCTTCTGGCCCACCCAGCCCCTAACCAGTTCTAGGGGAGCTGTAGGTCTTCGTGTTACATGATCTACAGGCCACGGAAAAGAGAAAAGCAGAGGCTGTGTCCCACACTGTGAGCTCCGAGCTTGGGCCAAGGGGGACAGGGCTCCTTCCAAGAGTGTGCAGATCTCAGTGGGGTATGCAGAAGGGTACTCCATGGGAATGAAACTGATACTAAACAAGAGTGTTTGGTTAAGAGTAAAGTTGACCTTTAAGTTTCCTTTAAATTCTAAAACCCCAAGAGAGAAATGGAAGGAAGATCTCTCCTAACCATTTCCAGGAGAGAAACTCAAAATTAAAAGGTTACTTTGCTTTCCCCCTTATGATCCAGAAAGGGTCTAATTTATAAAAGCCCCGGGGGCCTCCCAGCATGGGTGTGGTTTTACCAATTTAATAGAGTTTGCTTGAGCCCTTCTGAAATGTCTCAGCCTATTTAATTGGAGAATTTTACTGAAGAATTAAAGACTCAGTAAAAGAGGTTTGGTTTGTTCATGAAAGTAAATAGCTTGTGAAATACTTCATTTTCCTGTGACTAAAAATTCCAGCTTGTAATTCCCAATCAGGATCGCTTTAAGCTACTCATTAGTACGAATTAAACCTGTTTTGCCATGCTCGTAGGAAAAAGGTAAAAATATCTTCATTAGCCAACCCTGGGCTGGCCCCTCTTTGAAGTAGCTCTGAGGTCAGTTCTGCAATGAACACAGGGACTGAGCCGACCGCGGGGCTGGGGGCGGGTGGCAGAGTGCACTCCAGAAAAGGCCCAGAACGGTCCAGAAAAGACAACAGAGTTTCTGTGAACAAACAGCCCTTTCTAAACCCAGAGATGTCCTTGCCTTTTCACTGAAGAAACAGGGGTGGGATGGGTGGGGGGCTGCAGGGCAGGGGGGTTGGAGAGGACGGGGGAGATTTAGGGGAAGGAGCCGGAACACTGTTGAGGGAAAGAAAATGCCTTCATTTTCTGGCATTAAAATAGAAATTTAAGAAAAAAAATAGAGGTGTTTAAAAATGCACTTAAGAGATGACCCTAAGCTATTAACCAGATTTTTTTCTTTTCTTTCTTTCTTTTTTTTTTTTTTTTTGGTTTATTAATTACACAGTCATTGTAATGACCTCGTTGCTAGGAGCTCTGAGGTGGAGGAACCTGAAGATCGGAGTTGCTGATAAGCTGCCTCGGGGGCCCACAACGCCGACCTGCCTTCCCGCCATCCAACGGCTGTTTCCTTAGCCCCTCCCTGCGGCCAGGGGGCACCTCAGGCAGGAGCCCAAGCAGCAGCGAGGTCACCTACCGGGTTATTGCTGGCCTTCCCCGCGAGGATGACCCGGGCCTTGACCTTGTTCATGTTGAAGTTCTTGAGGTAGGCCTCATAAATTCTCTTGGCGAGGGACTTCAGATCTGCCGTTTCTGCATCTTCTGGGTCATGTTCACAGGTGAGAATTTCCGCTTTCAGTTTTGCTTTTTCAGATCTTGGCATTCGTCCAAAGCGAATTGCTGGGGGCGGGGAGGAGGGGACATGGGAGAGAATGGGAAGGGGGCAGAGGTGAGCACTGGGGCGCATGGCAGGGGACCGGCCGCTGGGCGGAGAGTGCGCACCGAGAACTCGACCACCAGCGAGCGCAAAGCTGCCCCTCGGGACTAGTCAACGTTCTATTCTGGAGAGAGGAAAATAAAACTCAACCCTCCATCAATTTTGGACTCTTTCAAAAGGTTAAAAGGAAAGGCAATCCCTCATTTCGTCAACAGGATGGGTTGAAGGTTGTTTACTGTCATGAGGTCCCAAATTGACCCTTAGTTCAAGGAGATGGCAGTTTCCCCCAGGGCGAGTTCATGTGACACCTTTTTCTTTGTCCAGAAGGTGGACATGCAACTGCTAGGAATTAGTCATTTTAGATTTACCTTCGCGTCATCATTGGCACGTTCTAAAAGGACAGTAGGTTTCAGAATAATGACATTCGCCATGTGGGATGGTGTTTGCAATGGCACATGCTTCGTGCAGACTCTGGGACCATTCTGGCGTCCTGGGGGCGTTTCCAATCGGGCTGAAAAGCTTCGATCAAAGTCTTACCGTGAGAAGTGTCTAAGTGGAATTCCAGGAGCTCTGCTGCGTCTCAGCTATGTGACACTGCTCCCTTTCTGGGCTATTCTGGTTGCAAAATGATCTGGGCACTAAGTGTTGCCACACATTCATTCAAAACACAGTCTGTGGCGGCCAGACAAGGGAGGTAAGCTGAGGCACGGGCTGGGGAAGTACACTAGACAACCTTACCTACCGTTATGGGACATCCCGACCGAAAGGCACTTGTGGAAACGACAGTATTGGCACTTATTCCGGTTCTTCTTCTGAATCTTGCAGCTGCGGTCACATTTGTCATAGGCCAGCTTCAGCCGGATGGTCCTCCGGAAGAAACCCTGTGGGACGGACGCACGGTCGGGGAGGGGCTGCGGTGGGCCGCTAAGTCAGCATCGTGGCTTTACTCACATTTCTGGTCGTTCACTTACTGTACTTCCCAAGTGGACTGAAATTAGCGAAATCGTTCTAAGAAGTCTTACTTAATTGGGACAAATTGAAAAATTTAAATTTCATTACGTGTAAGATGAAAAACTAACAAAATGAGGCAAAATTCAAAGTCGTTTCAAGACGTCCTCATCTGGCTTGGGAAGACCCGGTTATGGTCTCCCAGAGTCACTCAGTCCTGTTCCCATTCATACAAGTGTCACTTTCCCTCCCCAACTCACGTCCAGATTTGTGACTACACAAATCTCTACGTAAGAGAATACTAACTCCCTGAAAGACAGAAATTATAATAAACCAATAAAAGGAAGCCACCTGTTTGTAAACAACGCTCGTGCTTTACAAAAGCACTAAACTCTACCCAGTAAGAAACTTCAGGATTTAGTCCATGAGAAACAAAATGCAACAACAGGAACTCAGGCACAGCCAGGTAGGAAGGGCTACTTTACAGGTTCATGGTCAGAAGGCTTGTGAAGGCGTCTGTATTTGCTCTGGTTCTTTTTCTGTTTGCTTCCCACTCATTCCTGCATATTTCAGATGGGCAGGTCCGGTGGGCCTGCGGGAGCGGGGACAGCAATTTCTTGGGGCCCTGGCCTCCAAGGCCAGCCCGGGCTCAGGCGCGGCATTGCTGTGTCAAGGACGCGGGTCGTGCCTGCACCAGGAGAGGCTGTGGTATCTTCCAGAAGTCAGTAAACGGTCTCAGCACGCACAGGGGAAGGAGATTTCTGATTTTAACCGAACACTGAGATAATGTGATTCCCCCACATATCAGGTACATGAAGTACCAGAGCTGGAGAGTGTACACAAAGTCCTAAAAGCATGATGTGGGGGCCTGACACCTCTGATGGCCAGATCTTTTTAGTGATGATGAAAATCTGGGTTTAAAATAAAAGGAAGCACCCGTCGTCCCGAGCAGGGACTCTCCTCCCTGCCGGGGTCCACCGTACCTTGCAGCCTTCACACGCATGAACTCCGTAATGGTAGCCTGAGGCTTTGTCCCCACAGATTCTGCATTCAATGTTCAAGGCTATGCTGGAAGGTTCATCAGCACTACCGGGAGCCACTGGGTAAGTGACCGACGAGGGGCTTGAAGCTGGTGAGAGGGTGTCTGAGAACAGAGGAGAAAGACTGATGAGCATTCCAGACACCATCATCGATTCTATACCAGGTTTACGAGTACATGACTGCGTTGTGCGGAGGCGCCGGCTAGTGGGCAGAGTTCCCAGCCCGGGCTGGCCCCTGTCCCGGGCTGTCCCACCCCTGCCTGGGTGCCTCCAGTTACCGTCGTGGCATCCCCAAACCTGCCGCTGGGCCGCCCCCGGGTCCTGGACCCGCACACCCAGCTGTCTCCCCTCCCCCACCCCGGCTCGGCCTACACACAATCTGTACTCTGCTTCCCTCCAGCTCTTCTGCAAATGTTAACTCAGTAAATCACACCAGAACACAGGATAAAAATCCGTGTGGGCAACACTAAAGGCAACAATCCATGAAAGATTACCAAAAAAATTAGGTTGGATTTTCTTAAAATTAACAAACTTCTTTCTGCTCTGCAAAAGACACTGCCAAGAGAATGAAAAAGACAAGCCACAGGCAGGGAGGAAATATTCGCAAAACACACATCTCCTAAGAGACTTGTATCCAAAATACACAGAGAGGTCTTAAAACTCAACGATAAAACAAACAACTCAATTAAAAAATGGGCAGAAGATCTGAACAGATACCTCACTGAAGAATGGTAGCAAATCAGTATCACTTGTCATTAGGAAATTGTGACTTAAAACGAGACATCACTAGGCACCTATTAGACTGGCTAAAACAAACATGAGCGCCTGGGTGGCTCAGTCGGTTAAGCGTCTGCCTTCGGCTCAGGTCATGATCCCGGGGTCCTGGGATCGAGTCCCGCATGGGGCTCCCTGCTCCGCGGGAACCCTGCTTCTCCTCTGCCTCTGCCCTTCTCCCTGCTTGTGCATGCCCTCTCTCTCCTGTCTCTCTCTCAAATAAACAAATAAATAAATAAATAAATAAAATCTTTAAAAAAAATTAAAGAGACCCCTGACGACACTGCATGCTGGCGAGAATGTGCAGCGACAGGAATGCTCGCTCGTGGCTCCTGGGACGGTAGAATGGTGCAGCCGCGTTGGACGACAGTTTGGCAAACAGTCTTAAAGGGATTGCACTCCTAGGTATTTACCCAAGGGATCTGAGGACTGAGTTCACACAAAAACCTACACACGGATGTCTATACAAGCTTTAGTGTTAATCTCCCCAAATCAGAAGTAACCAAGACGCCCTTCGATAGGTGGAGGGATAAAAAGAAAGGCCGGCCTGAAAAGGTTACAAACTATACAATTTAAATACCTGACGTTTTGGGGAGGCTGAATTATAGGTTTGGTACAAAGGTGAGTTGCTGGGGGGAGGGTGGGAGGGATGTTGAACAGGTGAAACAGAGGTTTTTTTGGAGATGGTGAAACAGTTCATATGAGAACGTAATGGTGAGGACACAACATGATGCGTTTGTCAAAACCCACAGAACTTTACAGCACAGAGCGAGGCTTCAATGCGTGCAAACAAAAATCATTTAGGAGGTTGGGGGTCCCCCGGGGGGAGTACAGAGTATGACGAAGCAAGCTCACCGTGTCACACAGGTATGGAACGGCCTCCCTGAAGGAGGCGTGGAGAAGACCCCACCCGAGGAAACTTGGAAACGAGTGGCACCTGTGGGACCAAAGGCGTGTCAGCATGGGGTGTCTGCGGATAAAGCGGCCCCCGCAGGGATACGGGTTAGCCACCCTGACGACACCATTGTGTAGACCGGAGACAGACCATGAATGGAAGGAATGGTGGCGTGGGAGCTTGCAGATCAGCTGGGAGAGGTGAGAATGGCCCACGTGGTGGCCGGTTGGCACTGCAGGCATTGGGGCAACAGACAGAGATACCAAGGGCTACATACAGAAATATTCGTGGACCTGTGTATGTACGTGGATTAGTACAGGCCCATATCTTTTTGACCCATCAGCTAAAAGAGCCTAAAAGAAAAGACACTGCAGCAGCGGCCAGGACTCTGACAAGGCTGGACAGAGCTCTGGGACCACCACTCACAGTGAAAGCCTCGGAATCCACCAGCCGTCAGGTAAAGGGCCTCAAAAGGGTTTTGCCTCAGTATCGGGGCAAACTTAACTGTAGGATCAACACTGTTATGGTTCCATCTAACACAAGACCTGAAAGGTCAAACATTTTCCAAGTAACTTCACTGTGTCTCAGGACAAAACTCAGAAGTATTTATGGGAATACAAAAATATCCATCATGAACAAAGTTCATAATGCATGGCATCCAATAAAAAAAATTACAGGGGCGCCTGGGTGGCTCAGTCGGTTAAGCGTCTGACTCTTGATTTCGGCTCAGGTCATGATCTCAGGGTCAGGCTGCACCTGAACTAACACAGATGATTAAAGTTATGACTGTATCCTAAGTGTTCAAGGATCTGGATGAAAGACTGGACACTGGGCGGAAAAGAACCGTGTCACACTTCTAGTGAGTTAGACTACACCACCTGGTGTGAGAAGTACACTGGATGGGATCAGAGCCAGCCTAGACACTGCAGAAGAAAAGATTAGTAGACTTGAAGACACAGCAAAAAAACTATCCAAAATGAAACACTGAGAGAAATAAGATGGAAAAAAATAGCTTCATAAGTGAAGTCCACCAACCAGTTAAGGAAGAAACAGTATCAATTCCACAGAAATACTTACAGAAAACTGAAGAAGAGGGGGCACTTCCTAACTCATTCCATGAGGCCAGCATTAATCTGATACCAAAACCAGATAAAGATTTTACAGGAAAACTAGAACCAATACTCTTCACGAACACAGACTCAAAAATTCTTTTTTTTTTTTTTAAGATTTTATTTATTCATTTGACAGAGAGAGAGACACAGCGAGAGAGGGAACACAAGCAGGGGGAGTGGGAGAGGAACAAGCAGGCTTCCCACTGAGCAGGGAGCCCAATGCGGGGCTCGATCCCAGGACCCTGGGATCATGACCTGAACCGAAGGCAGACACCTAATGCCTGAGCCACCCAGGCGCTCCCAGATGCAAAAATTCTTTTTTCTTTTTTTTAAGATTTTATTTATTTATTTGACAGAGAGAGACACAGCGAGAGCGGGAACACAAGCAGGGGGAGTGGGAGAGGGAGAAGCAGCCTTCCCGCAGAACAGGGAGCCCGATGCGGAGCTCGATCCCAGGACCCTGGGATCATGACCTGAGCTGAAGGCAGACGCTTAATGCCTGAGCCACCCAGGTGCCTCCAGATGCAAAAATTCTTAACAAAATTTTAACAAGTCCACCATGTACAAAAAGGACAACACATTATGACAAAGTAGGATTTGTTCTGGGAATGAAAAGTTGACTTAATCTTTGAAAATCAAATAGTGTAATTTGCTGTATCAACCAACTAAAAAAGAAAAGCCATTTGATCATCCTACTGGAGGAGGGAATAGTATTTGACAAAATCCAACATCACTTTCTGATAAAAACTCACAGAAAACTTAGGATTAGGAGGAGAACTTCCTCAACCTAGGAAACGGAATCTATGAAAAACAGTTATTGTCATACTTAGAGGTGAAAGACTGAGGTCAGGAATAAGGCAAGGGTGTCTCCCCTTATTCAACACTGTGCTGGAGGTTCTAACCAGTGTAATAAGGCAAGAAAAAGAAATAAAGGCATCCAGCTTAAAAAGGAAGAAGTAAAACTGTCTTTATGGACAGATGACAAAATTCTCTGTGTAGAAAATGCTAAAAATCTATAAAATATGAAACACTCAGCAATAAACCTGACCAAAATATATGAAATATCTGTACATTAAAAACTGGAAAACATTGCAGAGAGAAAATTTTTAAGGTTTTATTTATTTGAGAGAGTGAGCAAGAGAGAGAGCACACAAGCTGGTGGGGGACAGAGGCAGAGGGAGAAGCAGACTCCCCACTGAGCAGGGAGCCCGATGCAGGGCCCCATCCCAGGACCCTGGATCAGGACCCAAGCTTCAGGCAAACACTTAACTGACTGAGCCACCCAGGCGCCCCTGCAGAGAGAAATTAATGAAGAGCTATCTAACAGGGGAAATAAGTTCATGGCTCAGAAGGCTCAGTGTTGTTAAGATGTCAATTCTCCCCACGTTGATCTTTTGATTTAAGGCAATCCCAGTCAGAATCTTAGCAGGCTTTTTTGGTGGAAATTAAAAAACTGATTCTAAAACTAATAGAATACCCAAAACATCTTCAGAAAAGAAGAATAAAGTAGGAGAATTTAATGCTACGTGACTTCAGGCGTTATTATAAAGCTACAGTACACAGAAATTAGTGGCATTGGCGTCAAATGAGACAGGCAAATGGAACCGATACAGGCCCAGGCAGGCAAAGCCAATTGATTTTTGACAAAAATATAAAGGCCGTATAGTGGAGATAGCAGTCTTTTTAATAAAGTATGTGAGAACAGTTACAAATGCAAAAGAGAGAGAGAGAAAAGAAATAAGTTTTGATCCATTTATGAAAATCAATTCAATAGATCTGGGACAAAAATGTAAAACCTAAAAAATGTAAAACTTATTGAATAAAGTGACTTCGGGTCAGGCAAATATTTCTTAAATATAACACAGAAAAAGCAGGATCCACGAAAGAAAAACACTGACAAATTGCACTTCCTCAAAATTAAGGACTTCTGTGTTTTGAGAAACACTGCTAAAGGAAAGAAAAGACAAGCCACAGATTAGGAGAAGCTACCAGAAATCACACATCTGATGAAATACTTGTATCCAGAATATATGAATCCCTCTCAACAGTCAAGAGCAAGGAAACCACTCACTTTAAAATGGGCAAAAGGTTTGAACAGAAATGTCACCCAAGAAGATGTGTACATATGAGGTACAAGCTTGGAGTTATCACATAAGCAAGTCATGGGGAAGACACATACAGCGTTGGAGGTATAGTCTGAACTATCATAGTAACGTTGTGCGGCGACAGATGGTGACAGCATATAGCGGTGAGCGCTGGGTCATGCACGGAATTGCGAAGTCACCGTGTTGTACACCTGAAGCTAATGTAACACTGTGTGTCAACTATACTTCATTAAAAACATTTTGAAAAAGAAGATATCTGGCAAAAGAGCCTCAGCATCGTCAGGCCTTGGGTAAATGCAAATGAAAACCACCACCGTGACATCCCATTACACACCTGTTAGGATGGCTACAACCCAGAAGACTGACCGTATCTGATGTTGATAGAGGGTGTGCATGAGCTGGAGCTCTCACACTCACTGGTGGGAACCTAAAATGATATAAAGCTCAGGGGTGTCTGGGTGGCTCGGTCGGCTCAGGTCATGATCCTGGGGTCCTGGAATCGAGCCCCGCATTGGGTTCCCTGCTCAGCGGGGATCCTGCTTCTCCCTCTCCCCCTCCTGCTGCCCCTCGCTTGTGCTCTCTCTCTCTCTCTCTCTGTCAAGTAAATAAATAAAATCTTTTAAAAAAGTGATATACCACTCTGGAAAAGATTTTGGCAGTTTCTTAAAAGTCAAACATACATCTACCTTAGGTCCCAGCCATTTGCTCCTAGGTATTTAGCGGAGAGAAGCTAAAGCACATGTCCACACAGAGATTTGTACGTGAATGTTCCCAGCAGCATTATTTGTAACAGCTGATACCTGGAAGCAACTCAAATGTTCTTCGACAGGTGTATGGGTAAATAAACAGTGGCGTATCCATACGACACATAAAAAACCTGAGCTATTGATATGTGCTTCGATGCAAATGAATCTCAAAAGAATTTTGCTGAGTGAAAGAAGTCAGCTGAAAAAATACCTACTGCATTATTCTTTCTATATAAAATTCTAGGAGCTACAGACAGATCTATAATGATAGAAAGATCGGTGTTGCTCAGGAGGGAGAGGGAGACCCAGGGGTGGGGAAGAGGGTTTATAAAAGGGCACAAGTGGGGCGCCTGGGTGGCTCAGTCGTTAAGCGTCTGCCTTCGGCTCAGGTCATGGTCCCAGGGTCCTGGGATCGAGCCCCGCATCGGGCTCCCTGCTCGGCGGGAAGCCTGCTTCTCCCTCTCCCACTCCCCCTGATTGTGTTCCCTCTCTCGCTGTCTCTCTCTCTGTCAAATAAATAAATGAAAGCTTTATTTAAAAAAAAAAAAGGCACAAGTAAATTTGGAGGTGACGAGTTCGGTCACTATTTTCATTGTGGTGATGGTTACATACTCAAAATGTGTGTGTACACATCAAATTGTACACTTCAGCTATGTGCAGTTTACTGTATGCCAATAAAGTCGCTAAGAAAAATCAGGGGCGAAAGAGATTGGCCGTGCAAGCAGCCTCGCCCATCTGTTCTCCTGGGTGTAAAGTTTAAAGTGAATACATTTTATAGACGGCCCTTCCATAGGAGCCATTTACATAATGCAGAAATCCCCCCTGAAGGATGGAAAATCTAATTTACAAATAAGCGATAATCTTATCTCAAATTAGCTAGTCACACGAGCACTGGAGAACCTGGAAAGGAAACAAAGCAAGATTTTAAGAAGCAAGAGATGATGCCAAATGACCCAAAGGATCAACAACAACAGCGAGGAGAAGCTGGAGAAGCTATGGACAGCTGACCGCATGCCCAGGGCCCGGAAGGCCAGGGGCCCAGAGTCGGGGGTGTGCGTCGAGTGCATTTCAATGTGATCACGTTTTGTAAGTTCCCCCTCTTTTGTTTTTGCCACGAAGTCCCTTTGAAGGAACAAGAACTACTCTTGTGAAGACCAGGGTGGTACTCTCTCCCCCAAAACCCTTGCCCTTACTTTATTTAGATGCGAAGCGCATGGCAGCCCGTGGACTTGGGTCCAGTGTGGCTTTTGATGAAGCATATGGACCATGAGGCTAGTTTACATGACATTTCCAAGTCTTATGTGTCAGAGCTTTCAGATGGCTTAGGAATACATTTTAGATCATAGTTCTTGGCAATGACCTAAAAGACAACCTTGAGACAAACTGGAAGAACGTGATTTCGGATCCCTCCTGTTTGAGGGTGAGGACTTGGGAGAAAGAAAATCCAGGCAGAGTGGCCACTGTGGACTCTACCTTCCTGGAGAAAGTGGGTGTCTGAACACTATTCCTGTCCAGGGCTAGAACAGAACTTTCCAGAGGTTTTACAACTGAACGCCCACCCTGCTCACGCAAGTTCCTTATTTGAGAACGACCTCGAGAGTGTGTGTGACCTGTAGGAAAAGTGTATCCTTGAATCTTTCATCATAAAATGAACAATATGTTTTCCAAAGAAGGGTTGGGGGGGGAACTGCCTTCTTTTAAAAAAAAGAAAGAAAGAAATGGACAGAGATAAATCTTCTCAAATCCAGAAGAAAAGAAATTTCTGATAGTCAGTATAACCACAAATAGTACACGAAAACAACTGGACAGCATGTGGTGTGTCTGCAATGTGCTGAATCAAAGACCCATGTGGGAGGGTTGAGAGCTGGGTTTGACCCTGGGTTTTCTCCTACTCTGAGCTTGTCATCTCCAGCATGTCCCAGCGTCCCGGGGTCTGTCTCCCTACCTCTTAACTCAAACAGAATAACGAGCTCAAACGTTGCTCTTGGGGTTCAGGGAGACAAGGCGTGCGCAGTGGCTACCATGGTGCCCAGCAGCCTGGGCTGTCACTGTCCCGGACAGTAGCACAGGTCAGCCAAGAGGCGACCTACCGAGGCTCTGCAAGGTGATCCCACACCCCAGAGGCTTTTCCTTGTCTCCCCTTCCTCGCTGTTTCTGGAAGCTCCCATCACCCTGGACGTCTGCTCCTTTCCCTCAAAGCTCACTCCCTCAAAAACACGTCATGAGAAAGGCAGTCAAAACGCAAACCACTAGGGCGCCTGGGTGGCTCAGATGGTTAAGCATCTGCCTTCAGCTCAGGTCATGATCTCCAGGTCCCGGGATCAAGCCCCACGTTGGGCTCCCAGCTCAGCTGGGGAGTCTGCTTCTCCCTCTCCTTCTGCTTGTGCTCTGTCTCTCTCTGTCTCTCTCTCTCAAATAAATAAATAAATCATTTTTAAAAATCTTAAAACAAAAACCGCAAACCATTTATAAAGGTCTGTTCGGGTCACTACAAAGGCTGTTCAGACAGGAAGGCCACAGAGTCCATTAACTCGTCATCTCAGGGTCTTGCTTGGATCGTGCAATGCCTGATTTTCTGGGTCAAGGACACTGCTGCCAAAACGGATGTTCATACGAAGAACATGGCTTCAGAGCCAGCTGAGGGGCATGGGCTCAGGCCTTGGCACGGTTTCTTTCTAGCTGTGTGACCAGGCCACGTTACCTGATATCTGTGAGTTTATTTCCACTTGTAAAACGACAACAGTCTTCTCACTGAGTTTTTACAAGGATTATGTGAGGCTTTGCGCAAGATGCTCTTTCCTTCTGCCAGGAATGCTCCTTTCTGCTGCTTTTATTTTTCTTTAAAGTATCTCAAACATACAGAAAAATATACAGTAGGACACCTGCCGCCCAGATTTACAAAGGTAATGTTTTATCACATTGCCTCATGCCTTCTGTCTAAAGTGCAACCTACGGGAGCTAAGGTCCGGGTGGGACCCTCTGCCCAATCCCACCTTCCTCTCTGCAGGGGACCAGCATCGTAAAACTGGCACGAGCTTTCCCAGATGTGTGCCCATACCCACCGACCACATTCAGCGCTGTCCGGTGTTGGAGATCTTACACGAATGGAATCATACAGAATGTATTGTCAAGCTTGTTTATTTTCATTCATTGTTGCTTCTTACGTGGATGCAAGTTGATACAGGTGGAGCAAATTCTTTCTCTTAAGTTATGATAAAGAACTCTGCTGCAGGAAGCTTTCTCAATCTATCTGCTTCCCTCGCTTCTCATCCGTCCCCACCGTGAAGGTCACCACGGCGCACGGCAACAACGTATGTCACGCACCGCATGCACAATCCCAAATACGGCTGCCATGTGTCTCCTTTTAAAACGATGTCTGTCCCCAGCGGGCCTGCTGGGTTGAGAGTGCATGCACCTTCCACTACTCTTGCTACAGAGGTTTCGTCAGCGTACAGTGGTTTCGTCAGCGTACACCGTTCCCAGCAGAGCGTGAACCTCCCCTTTCCCACTGTCACTAAAGTCAGCGCTCCATCATGAGAATCATCTTCCTGGAGCAGGAATAAGCAAGAAGATGGTGGGCGGAAATGTGCTCCAGGGTAAGGACTTGCCACACAGGGAGCCTTGTCCAATTGAGGGCACAGTTGACACCCCATTATCCCGGGCTAGCTTCAGTGTTGCCTGGAAGGATTGTGCGTTCTGCCGTTTCTCCTCAGTGATAGCAGAGGTTACCTGAGTGGACCCCATGTTTTATTTCTTTGCATCCGCCCTGCTGATACTTGTTGCAGTTCTTTTTTTTTTTTTTTTAAGATTTTATTTATTTATTTTAGAGAGAGTGCACATGAGCAGAGGGAGGAGCAGAGGGAGAGAGAATCTTTAGCAGACTCCGCACTGAGCACGGAGCCCAACATGGGACTCACTCTCAGGACCCTGATATCATGACCTGAGCCGAAACCAAGAGTCGGATGCTTAACCGACTGAGCCACCCAGGCGCCCCTTTCCTGCAGTTCTTAATGCAGTGTAGAAAATAGGGAGGTTTCCAGATTTAAAAAAAAAAATCGTCCTTTTTATTATACTAGGAGCCTCTGCTTTAAAGAAATAGAAACTCAGAATTTTTTTTTAGAAATGTAGCTGACTGCCTTAACTGAATTTCAAGCATTATTTGATTTGTGTATAGCTTTTAAAAGGGGGCATACTGTGTATCTCACAATGTCTCCTGAAAGCCCTCCAGGCCCAGTGGACTGGGTGTTATGCTTTATCATGTCTAAAGAGTTTATTGCACAAAGATGTGACTTCTTTGTCAGCTAAAGAGAACAGTTTTCTCTGCAGGAAAAAAAAAAAACAAAACAACACAAGAACTTTTCGAAATACAGCTTTTTGGGATAACAGCACACTTACCTGTAATAACAGATCCATCAGATCCTGGGCCGCTTCCTAAATACTGGTATTCTGTGAAACTAAAGCTTCCAGAACTGTCCTCACCAATGGATTGAGAAATCTCTTGGATGTTTCCCATTTCTTGTAGAAATTCTTCAGATAATGGGCTTTCCAGATCATCAGCCTCGAGTGGGGAGAGGGGGCAAATCGGACTTTCTGTGTCTACCATCTTGACTAGATGGTTCTGGAAATGTAGCTGAGCCCCAACCTAGGAGGAGAGAGCAGTAACCAGTGAGACAAACACAGAAGAACTCTTTTCCTTCAGTGAAAACATCCTTTACCGATGACGACCCACTGAATTCATAATCTAAGAAGGAACAGTGTTGACCACCGTTTCTCAGCATGCCTCTTGATAAGCATGCTCAGAAAATGAAAATCTTTCAACACAAGCTGTTTAAGGAGACAAAGCCGATCCTGTGAGAATCATTCACCTGCTACTGAGTGCACAGGGTGTGTTCAGCTCAACCCACCGGATCTGAGCTGGAGAGAAACAGCAGTGGGACACAAAGTCCCCGCTTGCTTAGAACACCTGTTTCGGTGGGGACATAGACAGTTAGCAAGTAAACAAACACACGTGTGGACTGAATGGTGATCCGACGGCACAGTAGGAGCAGATGGAGAACGGACACTGCCTTACAGGGGGACACTGCCCGGCCGATCCGGGGACAGCAGGCCCTGAGAGGGTGAGCTGCGCAGAGGTCTCTGGGGAGAATGTTCCAGCAAACGAATAGCGAGCACAAAAGCCCCACAATGAAAGCCTTCTAGGAAAAAGCAGGCCAGTGTGGCTCAGCAGAGGGGCACAGAGAGAGCAGGAGGGACAAGTCATCAGCATACACCCTGGTGCGATATTCTAGGTTCTCCTTGTACCCCAGGGGTAACTCACGCAGGTTTTCCTTAAAAAATGATTGCACACTTGCAGATACATCATAGAGTTTAAAAAACCCAACTAGGTGAGTCCTTGACAAAGCTAGACTGTTTCAGCCAGCAAACAACAGAATACTCCCCGGGTGGGTACCGTTATGAGCTGAACTGTATCCTGCCAACATTCCTGTGTTGGAATCCTGACCCTCCAGACCTCAGAATGTGGCTATATTTGGAGAGAGGGTCTTGAAAAGGCACTTATGTTAAGATGAGGTCTTTTAAAGCGGGCCCTGATCCGATCTGATTGGTGGCCTTATGAGAAGGGGAACCTGGGACACATAAAAAGAGACACCAGGGGCGTGCGTGCACAGGTGCGTGGCAGGTCCAGTTGCCTGAACTGCCCTCCTATCTCTGTCCTTCTGAGGTCCTGCCTCAGGTCCATCCCTGGGCCTGGCAGTCATGCATCGCTCAGTGACATTTACCTTTTGGGAACTGCTTTCCCATCTGAAGTGGTCCCAGTGAAGCCCACGGCTAGTGGCCCCAAGAGGCCCTGAGAAAGTGCATATGCCATCAACAGCCAGGGCTGCCTGCGAGGGGCTGACCGCGAAGCGCTGCCCTCACATGGTGACCACAGGACGCCAGGCTCGCCCGGCCGAGTGAGAACACTATTCCAAGGCCAATCCGCGGAACATACTCTTCTAAAACATTTTCGCAGTGCAGCCCTGCTTCAAGTAAATATCTTTAAGTGCAAAGATGAAGGGATGTTTTGACTTCCTTTAGGAATGAAAAATGGGTACAAGTCACACATTTTTGTGAAAGTCACATCTCATGCTTAGAATTCGGAGAATAAGTTCTCATGGTTGACAATAACACACAGGAAAAATAAAAGAGAACCATCAGCCTTTCATAAGATTTAAAGGACTTTCTATGTAATCTGTATTTCTATAATCAGGCTGTGAATCTGTGCATTTTTTTCTATCATATTTCATTCTGCATTATATCTGAAGGCAGGTTTCTTCAAAAGGCAAGCAAGACAGTGGGGTATTACTTAAAATATTTTTCACCATGAACAAAAGATTAAAAACTGCATTCACTAGAGTACAATATTAACCATAAAGTTGAGCCCAGTACGTATCAGCTAGCCGGGCAGAAGCCGTGCGGTCAGTGGGGCTATGACCACCTCCTCATCAGACCCCCAGTGCTGCAAGGGAACACGTGTGTAGACAGCAGCCTTTTTCCCCCTGCAAATATTCTATCTTCCAACCAGGAGTGTCAAAGCTGGAAGAACTGATCTTTGATTATAAAATGATGTTCGTTTCCTTGTCATTACACTCAGGGAGTTAGAACACTCTTAGCGTTTTACTATTTAGTCGCTTTTAAAGCATACCTGAGACTTACTTAGGGGAACGTCGGTCTTGCTGTTAATGAAGAGCTAACAAGATAAAATCCCTCTGCAGAGTGAGGCAACACTGTCCTGAACTCTGGCCAGAGGACTGGTGTTTGCACAGATCACTGAACACACTGGCCCTTTCTTGCTTCTGGCTGGAGCAGATAAGGCAGGGCTCCCTTTGACGGCATCCCCAGGTTGAGAGCCCAGGCAGCTGGGGACACACCCCAGCCCACCTGCCCTGTGGCTCCCGGCGTGCCCCGGCTCCTGGCCCTACCCCCATCACTGTGGGTTCTGCTCAAGCAGCAGAAATATCACAGGAAGTCTGGCTCTAAAGTCCACATGGCGCGGCCACTGCCCAGTTCCTCGAGGAGAGCAAACCAGATGCCAGTTATGGTGTCCTCCACCCCGGGTGCTCTGGAGGGACAGACAGGCACATCAGATGATCTCTTTTCTCAGCCGCTCCCAGGCTGGCCAAGGAGGTGAGACAAACGGCTGGAGGAAAAGCCGAGAAGGCCAGCAGAACTCCAGTGGGTCTTCGGTTTCCTCATGCAGAGAGGCTTCCACGGGGGGCCGAGAGTCTGGGGAAAGGATGGCGGAGCTCCCCGCCCGGCTCCCACCAAGATGCATGTTCCGTGTAATCCTGACATTCCTTCCCGAACCCGAGGCCTACCGGCGCGCTCTCTCAACACATCTTTTCTTTCTCACCCAACTTAAGTGTTAGAGCTGCATCTTGTTATTTCAGAAACTCGAATGTAAACTGCTGAAATTCTCCTTTTAGGTCTCAGTAGAGCATTTACCAATCAGAATATTCCTTTGAGCAGAGTATGCAAAAATTATAGAACATTAAAAAAAAAAAGAAAGAAGGAAAGAAGGGAAAGAGAGGCAGCAAGAAGGAGACGTAGAAACTATTACCATTTTGTGTCACTGAGGGCAGGTGAAGCACTGGAAGGATTTCAACAGTGACCCACAACCTTCACCACATAGTACTTTCCAAATCACCAACTCTTAGATGGCATGACTTTTTAAAAGATTAGGCTAAAATGAGTTGCTAATGGCATGATGAGCTCTTACTCTGTGAAGCCAAGCAGGGCCCAATATACCCTCCTCTGGGTTCCCGCAGCACCTGGGCTGGATTCTGACAGAGCCCCAATTATATGTAGCACGAGAATGTTTCACATCTGCCTTGAGGGCAGAGAATGTATTTTGCCAATCCCTGTATCCATAGTTCTTGCACAATCCTTATGGTGCAGGAGGTGTCCAGTTTCTGTTTCCAGCGCTTAGCTAAGGTGGGCATAGCATGTGCCCCCGCAGGTTACCCCAGCAGTAACTCGGTGAAAGTCTGTGAAGATTCCCCGGGCTCTGTGTTAGCAAGTGCGGCCTGCCATCACCCAGATGGCACAGACGAACCCAGCGTGTCCAAAGACAACAGCACGTAAGGATATCTAGATCAGAAGTCGGCATGGTTCTGCGTTGGGAAAGTGATCAAAAATTTGCACATCGGGACTTAAATACAAAGCATATAAAAGGGAAACGTAAGTCTAAGCCCCATAGTGAACAACAAAGTTCCAAGTCGGCAGGAAAGAGCTTGTGTCAAACAGGGATGGAGGGAGCGGGGCTGCCAGCCGTCAGCCCCTTTACCCCGAGGGAGAGGCCTTGGGGTTAGGGCATGAATGGATGATCAATTGACTTTCCACCTTAGAAGCGACAGAGAACGTGGGAGAAGTTCTGTGCTAACATAAAGTAGGGTGCTTTGACTTTCACTTCATCAAATGCTTGGAATCAAAGGCCAAGGAAGAATCACGTCCTTGTTGGCTCCTGGAGCTGTGACAGGGTCTGACCCATCTCTGCACCCCTACATTACTAATGGGGTTTCTTGGAACTGCCAGGCCCTTCGTAAGTATTTTCTGAAATTAAATACTAAATAACAGCTCGATATTGGCCCAACTGTCAAAATAGTTTTACATGCTGTGGTATCAGATACTCAAGAGAAAGAACAGATGGAGCTGGGCTTGAATTTCCCTTACCCAGCACTTGTATTTGACACAAAAGTGTCCGAATACATAATACCAAACCTGGGACTTCTACTTTGCTACTACTTCTCTTTCTGTAAGCAACCCTAACTTATTACACTGTAAAACCCCCTCGAATTATACTTAATGTGCTTACTAATGCCACCTTATAGAAACCTATTTACATTTTCTGTTGGCGAAATTGTCTGATAAGACTTCACTTAGTGGTCCTAAGGCAAAGGATGGGATTTTTGTCAGAGCAGTACCATTTCCATGAGCTATCAGGCAAGGAATTTTTCCATTTTCCACCAACTGTAATTCATTACCTTGTCAGATTCTTTATACTTCTCTGTATACCTTTTAGATCTTTAATATTTAGAGCTTTCAGCTGAATTTGTTGGGCTAGCATTTAAAATAACATTTCAAAATAAACAGAGAAGCACTACAAAGCCCTCTGTACCTTCACCCAGCACCAAAAGTTCATAGACATTGATTAACCACTGCCACCTGCCTAATGATTAACGCGCTTCCAAAGCCAGTGCAGAAAATGCCTCCGATAGAATCTGAAGCAGAGCACCGGAGTGTGGCAGTGGGTGTTTTAATGAGTTAAGCCAAAGGCGGGGTAATTAGGAGTAGTTTGCACACCACACAGATTTATCTGGGGACATCTAAGATCTTCCCCAACGACACCAAATGCATCAGCATTTTGTAATCAAAAGAATTTGGTGTGTGAAAATGGCTATGAGTCTCTGCACCTTCATCTTTAAAGGTCCAAGAAGAGGGGCGCCTGGGTGGACAGGCCTGAGCGTCTGACTCTTGGTGTTGGCTCAGGCCATCATCTCGGGGTCGTGGGAATCGAGCCCCGTGTCAGGCTCCCTGCTCAGCACAGAGTCTGCCTGAGATTCCCTCTCCCTCTGCCCCTCCCACTCATGCTCTCTCTCTCCCCCT